AATTGGCTCCTGTATAAATTGGCCCTTGTATATGAATGTGAATTAGGGACCTTAGATTGTGCGCCCCTTGAGGGTTAGGGACCTTAGATTGTACGCCCCTTGAGGGTTAGGGACCTTAGATTGTACACCCCTTGAGGGTTAGGGACCTTAGATTGTACGCCCCTTGAGGGTTAGGGACCTTAGATTGTACGCCCCTTGAGGGTTAGGGACCTTAGATTGTACGCCCCTTGAGGGTTAGGGACCTTAGATTGTACAACCCTTGAGGGTTAGGGACTGATGTGAATGTACAAGATATATGTAAAGCACTGCATAATTTTAATGTTCTCCCTGTGCCTGTGTGGGTTTCCTCAGGTACTCCGGTTTCCTCCCAAAGACATGCTGGGAGGTTAATTGGCCCTAGTATGCGTATGTATGAATGTGAGTTACGATGCTATATAAGTACCAGAAGTAAATAAATAAAATAATGTCACTTATTCAGTATTTCTGGATGGGTGTTACAATGTTGCTGCAATACATTTGTGGCATGTCCAGTTTGTGTTTTTACATGGGGGGGTCTAAAGACTAAAGGGGTCTTGCATTTGAATGGGTTGGCTTTACATTTCTCAATAGCAGTCCATGTAGGTTGGCTCTAAAGACTTGCAAGCAGCAAATGTCAGAAAAAGTGCAGAATGGCGCCCCCTGCTGGATTCAATATACAATGACTTTGTATCTCTGTTACCTGTCTACAGGAATCCAGCTTGCATAGTTACATTCTGTACAGGCGTACCTCCGTTTACAAATTTTTTTCGCAATACGAAGTGTATGGCCGATTTTTAAATGCAATTGCCTTTTTTTTTTTTCTTCACTATAGGTCACTAGATTAGCTGTCACTTTCCCCGGAGCTAAAGGATACTTTGTTTCTTTTAACTCTGGAAAATAAACTAAAAGGAAACTTTCTCTCTTTTAGCTGGGGGGGGGGGGATGACAGCTGAATTTCTGAGCTATAGTGAAGAAAAAAAATGTAATTACATTCAAAAACCAGCACGATAATAAATAAACGGCGTGGGGTCCCCCCTCAATGATGTCACATGGGGCGGGGTCGCTCGGGTGATGCCCCCGGGTGGCCCTGCTCCCCTACATATTTAACAACTGTCAAGCCAGCTCAGAGGAAGGGGGCTGGGGAGCCATTGTCGGGTGCGGAGCTTTTTTTTTTTTCTCTTTTTTCGGGTCGGTGGCAGCGGCAGGCATTGTGATTGACGTTGGATCTACTGTGGGGGACATTCTTTGAGTTTTTTCTTTTACTAAGACTTGTCAAAGACCATGTCCTGTCTTTTTTCACACTACACTTTTTGTTTTTTGTGAATGAGTACCCCATACTCATTCACATGGAGGGGGCGGGATCTGGGGGCCTCCTTGTTAAAGGGGGCTTCCAGATTCCGATAAGCCCCTTGCCTGCAGACCCCCACAACCACCGGCCAGGGTTGTGGGGAAGAGGCCCTTGTCCCCATCAAAAGGTTCTTTGCGGGGGGAGCCCCCTGCTGCCCCAAAGCACCCCCCCATGTTGAGGGCATGTGGCCTGGTATGGTTCAGGAGGGGGGGGGGGCTCGCTCATCCCCTTCCTTTCCTGACCAGCCGGCTGCATGCTCAGATAAAGGTCTGGTATGGATTTTGGGGAGGGGGACCCCCACACCATTTTTTAAAATTTTTTTTTTAATTTTGGCATGGGCGTTAACCTCAAAATCCATACCAGACCCGAAGGGCTTGGTATGGATGGGAGGGGGGGGGACACCACGCCATTTTTTTAATTATTTTTTTATTTGCCGGTAATTCTTTTACATTCAGCTGTCAGTGGGGAACCTCCCTGACACCCAAAACATTACCACATGGTTGCCACTACTAAAATACCACATGAATTAATAAAATAACAGTTTACTTCTGGAAATATACATATTAGACACAATACGGGGATTATATCTACAGCTGTGCGAATGCTTGAGGCATCTGAATTACTTTTTTTTCTTTTTTTCAATAAAAAGACCCTGAAGAGTACGGTCAGCAATAGCCAAGCACTGGGACAGAGGAGCAGCAAAGTGCAGTCACAGATCAGCAGGAAGCAGAGGCTGCATATGTAATGAACAAATACTCCATCTGTTATTACAGGTATGAACTGTACTTAGAAAAACAGGTTTATAAAACATGAAAACAAATTGATACAATTAGTTACATTCAGCCGAGATGTAACCAAACGAAGGAGATGTCAAATCCATAGGAAGCCGGACGTGTGTCACATCCGGGGCCCCTGATCCTATTACTCACTACCATGAGTGTCCCTGACTTCTGATACAACTTGTGATAACTCCGCAGAAGCCAACTTCCCATTTTAACTTCTATTTGCAGCTCACGCTACACCTCCTTCTTGTGAAATTGCAGAGAATTTGCTAGCGACTGGCAAAACCGAGGTGACGGTGTTGTGTCAATGCACCGTCCCATGGTGGGAACAGTCACACACAAAGATAACAGGATCAGCCTGTCCTGGTTTGGGGACCACCCGCAAGACATCGAAGGGAAAATACAAGAATTTGCAGCACTTATCATCCTGGGAAACTTCCTGCAGCAAATGTTATTGGGCTATTTTCTCTCCAGGTCGAATGTCATTCATTTATGCAGAAGAAAGAAGTGGTCTACAAACTGCGACACCAGGGGCCACATGCAGTGCTTTGCTTGCTTTTTTCTGGTCCTTGGGGTACTATTAAATCCACTGATACCCATAATGGGGCATAATCCCCCAACCCCCCCCACTGACACCAAAGATGGGGCATTTTTTTTCCACTGACACCAGGACCTTTTCTACTCCCAATAGTCATAGTCTGCCCCCCCCCCCCCTCAAAAGGCTAAGGGACAGTAAACCGGCCCTTTGTTGAGAGAGCTTGGACACCCCTGGAATAGAGTGAATCAGGAAAATCCCACATTATGGCCACTAGATGGAGTTGATGGTCATAGGAAATTAACACTTAACGTTCTATCACTCTATCAGGAGGTTCCCATGTCCACCATGTATCACTCTATCAGGAGGTGCCCATGTCCACCATGTATCACTCTATCAGGAGGTGCCCATGTCCACCATGTATCACTCTATCAGGAGGTGCCCATGTCCACCATGTATCACTCTATCAGGAGGTGCCCATGTCCACCATGTATCACTCTATCAGGAGATGCCCATGTCCACCATGTATCACTCTATCAGGAAGTGCCCATGTCCACCATGTATCACTCTATCAGGAGGTGCCCATGTCCACCATGTATCACTCTATCAGGAGGTGCCCATGTCCACCAGTTATCACTCTATCAGGAGGTGCCCATTTCCACCAGTTATCACTATCAGGAGGTGTCCATGTCCACCATATATCACTCTATCAGGAGGTGCCCATGTCCACCAGTTATCACTCTATCAGGAGGTGCCCATGTCCACCAGTTATCACTATCAGGAGGTGTCCATGTCCACCATCTATCACTCTATCAGGAGGTGCCCATGTCCACCAGTTATCACTCTATCAGGAGATTCCCATGTCCACCAGTTATCACTCTATCAGGAGATTCCCATGTCCACCCGTTATCACTCTATCAGGAGGTGCCCATGTCCACCATCTATTACTCTATGAGGAGGTGCCCATGTCAACTATCTATCACTCTATCAGGAGGTGCCCATGTCCACCATCTATCACTCTATCAGGAGGTGCCCATGTCCACCATCTATCACTCTATGAGGAGGTGCCCATATCAACTATCTATCACTCTATCAGGAGGTTCCCATGTCCACCATCTATCACTCTATCAGGAGGTGCCATTGTCCACCATCTATCACTCTATCAGGAGGTGTCCATGTCCACCATCTATCACTCTATCAGGAGGTGCCCATGTCCACCATCTATCACTCTATGAGGAGGTGCCCATGTCAACTATCTATCACTCTATCAGGAGGTGCCCATGACCACCATCTATCACTCTATCGGGAGGTGCCCATGTCCACCATTTATTACTCTATCAGGAGGTGCCCATGTCCACCATTTATTACTCTATCAGGAGGTGCCCATATCCACCATGTATCACTCTATCAGGAGGTGCCCATATCTACCATCTATTACTCTATCTATCAGGAGGTGTCCATGTCCACCATCTATCACTCTATCAGGAGGTGTCCATGTCCACCATCTATCACTCTATCAGGAGGTGTCCATGTCCACCATCTATCACTCTATCAGGAGGTGCCCATATCTACCATCTATTACTCTATCAGGAGGTGTCCATGTCCACCATCTATCACTCTATCAGGAGGTGCCCATGTCCACCATGTATCACTCTATCAGGAGGTGCCCATATCTACCATCTATTACTCTATCAGGAGGTGTCCATGTCCACCATCTATCACTCTATCAGGAGGTGCCCATGTCCACCATGTATCACTCTATCAGGAGGTGCCCATATCTACCATCTATTACTCTATCAGGAGGTGCCCATGTCCACCATGTATCACTCTATCAGGAGGTGCCCATATCTACCATCTATTACTCTATCAGGAGGTGCCCATATCCACCATGTATCACTCTATCAGGAGGTGCCCATATCTACCATCTATTACTCTATCAGGAGGTGTCCATGTCCACCATCTATCACTCTATCAGGAGGTGTCCATGTCCACCATCTATCACTCTATCAGGAGGTGTCCATGTCCACCATCTATCACTCTATCAGGAGGTGCCCATGTCCACCAGTGCTCTACAAGATGATGGTCTTCATGAAACTGAATTGTTTATTGAGGACTCTTGAGAAACAGACACATTTCAGGGATCTGCACCCCCTTCATCAGGGCCAAAAAACACAACTACGCTGTGTCTCTGCTGAATTTTTTAAGGAAACATTTCTTTGTGGTATTGGTGAGCTCTTTCCTCATGTCTGCTTAGTCTTACCTTTCCATAGGAGGGGGACGGAGGGGTCGTCATACACAGAGTCACAATACACATTACCGTCCTGCAGCTCATTGCCGACTGTGCCGTTTCCCAGGTTTTTCCGTTTGATGGTGAACAAGTGCTGCATCTTCATGTTGTATCTGTTGAAGGAGAAGAAAGAGTAAGAGATCCAGAAGACTCATCAAGAGGGAATGAGTCTGCGCCATCAAATATTCCTGTATAGTCTGTAATGAACCCTCAGCCTTTTTTAGACTAACAGTTTCAATGCTGCTGGTCCCTTTTCTGGCAGTGCTGCTTTCCTGAACTTCCAATCTTCATAGGAAAGGGTTAACAGTGGGCAGTGCAGTCTACAGCCATCTGTTATGCAGAGAAGGGAGGGAGGGGAGAAAGAGGGAGGAGCAGGTGGGTGCGTGGCCATCCTAGGCTATGGGGCTGTGTGTTTCTATTGACGCACACAGTTTAGGGAGACACAATTCTAGTCCCTGCATGCAAGGGTGACTCCAGGAAACCTGGGGCAGAGGTCATGGCACCGGCTTAAACTTGAACATAGGCCAGTATTAAAAGATAAAGAAGCTGCATACTCAATAAGTGATTAAATCAGCTACTGAAAGTGTTTATAAAACTGAGAGTGTGATATCACTTTAACGTGTTAATGGCACTTTAATAGTCAGTTTGAGGTTTACTATATCTACAGCTTTCATTAGAGTTTCCCTGGTGATCCTGATATGAAGGTCCCTGATATGAAGGTACTTCCTGTTTTAGGGTGACAACATTCTGCCTGCGCTCTTGTGTTGTCACCATTTCACATGGGCTTTTGATACAGACTAGATACACTTCAGCTGGAGAGGCAAAATTGTCTGCTGTCAGCAGGGGGCAGGACTGTGCTAGATAGATAGATAGATAGATAGATAGATAGATAGATAGATAGATAGATAATAGATAGATGGATAGATGGATAGATAGATAGATAGATAGATAGATAGATAGATAGATAGATAGATAGATAGATAGATGATAGACAGATAGATAGATAGATAGATAGATAGATATAAATAGATAGATAGATAGATAGATAGATAGATAGATAGATAGATAGATAGATAGATAGATAGATAGATAGATAGATAGATAGATAGATAGATAGATAGATAATAGATAGATAATAGATAGATAGATAGATAATAGATAGATAGATAGATAGATAGATAGATAGATAGATAGATAGATAGATAGATAGATAGATAGATAGATAGATAGATAGATAGATAGATAGATAGATAGATAGATAGATAGATAGATAGATAGATAGATAGATAGATAGATAGATAGATAGATAGATAGATAGATAGATAATAGATAGATAGATAGATAGATAGATAGATAGATAGATAGATAGATAGATAGATAGATAGATAGATAGATAATAGATAGATAGATAGATAGATAGATAATAGATAGATAGATAGATAGATAATAGATAGATAGATAGATAGATAGATAGATAGATAGATAGAAGTGAAGGAAATGCGTATTTGATCCCCGGCTGATGTTGAATGTTCGCCCCTCACACAGAAATGATCGGTCTAACAATGGAATGTTCGGTGTAACACTGAGAGAGACAGAATACAACAACAAATTCAGCAGAAATGCGTCTAACAAATGATGACGGATCTGCATGTTCATGAGGGAAAGAAGGATTTGATCCCCTATCATTCAGCAGGATTTCTGGCTCCCAGGTGTCTTTCATACAGGTAACAAGCTGAGATTAGAAGCAGTCTCTTAAAGGGAGTGCTGCTAATCTCATTGTGTTACCTGTATAAAAAGACACCTGTCCACAGGAGCAATCAAACCATCAGATTCCAAACTCTCCACCATGGCAAAGACCAAAGAGCTGTCCAAGGATGTCAGGGACAAGATGGTAGACCTACACAAGGCTGGACTGGGCTACCAAACTATGGCCAAGCAGCTTGGTGAGAAGGTGACAACAGTTGGTGCAATCATTCACAAATGGAAGAAACACAAAACAAGTGTCAGTCTCCCTAGGTCTGGTGCACCATGCAAGATCTCACCTCGTGGAGTGTCAATGATCATGAGAACAGTGAGGAATCATCCCAGAACTACATGTGAGGATCTTGTCAATGATCTCCAGGCAGCTGGGACCACAGTCACCGAGAAAACAATTGGTAAACACACTACGCCGACAAGGACTGAAATCCTGCAGTGCCCGCAAGGTCCCTCTGCTCAAGAAAGCCCATGTCCAGGCCCGTCTGAAGTCTGCCACTGAACATCTGAATGATGCCGAGGAGGACTGGTGGGAAGTGTTGTGGTCAGAGGAGACCAAAATCCAGCTCTTTGACATCAACTCAACTTGCCGTGTTTGGAGGAGGAGGAAAGCTGCCTATGACCCCAAGAACACCATCCCAACTGTGAAACATGGTGGTGGGAACATTCTGCTTTGGGGGTGTTTTTCTGCTAAGGGGACAGGACAACTGCACCGCATCAAAGGGACGATGGACGGGGCAATGTACCATCAAATCTTGGTGAGAACCTTCTTCCCTCAGCCAGGGCATTGAAAATGGGTTGTGGATGGATGTTCCAGCATGACAATGACCCAAAACACACGGCCAAGGCAACAAAGGAGCGGCTCAAGAAGAAGCACATTAAGGTCCTGGAGTGGCCAGTCTCCAGACCTTCATCCAACTGAAAATATGTGGAGGGAGCTGAAAGTTCGAGTTGCCAAACATCAGCCACCAAACCTTAATGACTTTGAGAGGATCTGGCAAGAGGAGTGGGCCAAAATCCCTCCTGAGATGTGTGCGAACCTGGGGGCCAACTCCAGGAAATGTCTGACCTCTGTGATTGCCAACAAGGGATTTGCCACCAAGTACTAAGTCATGTTTTTGTGAAGGGGATCAAATCCTTATTTCCCTCATGAACATGCAGATCCGTCATCATTTGTTAGACGCATTTCTGCTGAATTTGTTGTTGTATTCTGTCTCTCAGTGTTACAATACACCGAACATTCGATATTCAGACCGATCATTTCTTTGTGAGGGGCAAACATTCACCATCAGCCGGGGGGGAGCAAATACACATTTCCTTCACTGTAGATAGATAGATAATAAATAGATAGATAGATGACACATAGAAGGATGATATATAGAAGAATGACACAAAGAAGGATGATACATAAAAGGATGACAGATAAAAGGATGACAGATAGAAGGATGATACATAGAAGGATGATACATAGAAGGATGATACATAGAAGGATGACAGATAGAAGGATGATAGATAGAAGATGACAGATAGAGATGATGACAGATAGAAGGATGATACATAGAAGGATGATACATAGAAGGATGACAGATAGAAGGATGATACATAGAAGCATGACAGATAGAATGATGACAGATAGAAGGATGATACATAGAAGGATGATACATAGAAGGATGACAGATAGAAGGATGATACATAGAAGGATGATACATAGAAGGATGACAGATAGAAGGATGATACATAGAAAGGACATGAAGGATAGATACATAGAAGGATGACATATAGAAGGATGATACATAGAAGGATGACACATAGAAGGATGACACATAGAAGGATGACAGAGAAGATGATACATAGAAGGATGACAGATAGAAGGATGATATATAGAAGGATGACAGATAGAAGGATGATACATAGAAGGATGACAGATAGAAGGATGATACATAGAAGGGACGACATATAGAAGGATGATACATAGAAGGATGACATATAGAAGGATGTTACATAGAAGGATGATACATAGAAGGATGACACATAGAAGGATGACAGATAGAAGGATGATACATAAAGGGGACAGATAGAATGATGATATATAGAAGGATGATACATAGAAGGATGACACATAGAAGGATGACAGATAGAAGGATGATACATAGAAGGATGACAGATAGAAGGATGATATATAGAAGGATGATACATAGAAGGATGATACATAGAAGGATGACATATAGAAGGATGATACATAGAAGGATGATATATAGAAGGATGACAGATAGAAGGATGATATATAGAAGGATGACAGATAGAAGGATGATATATAAAAGGATGACAGATAGAAGGATAATACATAGAAGGATGACACATAGAAGGATGATACATAGAAGGATGACAATAGAAAAGGATGATATATAGAAGGATGATAATAGAAGGATGACAGATAAAAGGATGATAATAGAAGGATGATATATAGAAAAAAAAATGACACATAGAAGGATGATACATAGAAGGAGATAGAAAGAAGGATGACACATAGAAGGATGATACATAGAAGGATGACAGATAGAAGGATGAAGATAGAAGGATGAAAAATAGAAGGATGAAGATAGAAGAGGATGATAGCAGATAAAAAAGGATGATAATAGAAAGGATGATAATAGAAGGATGATAGATAGAAGGATACATAGAGGAAGGATGAACATAGAAGGATGATATATAGAAGGATGAAATAGAAGGATGATGAAGAAGATGATAATAGAAGATGATGACAGATAGAAGGATAATATATATAGGATGAAGAAAAAGGAAATATATAGAAGGATGACAGATAGAAGGGATACATAAAAAGATATGACAATAGAAAAAGATACATAGAAGGAAGATAAGAAGGATGATAGATAGAATATGAAAAAAGAGGATGATAGATATAGAAGGATGATACATAGAAGGATGATATAGATAGAAGGATGATAGATAGAAAGATGAAAAATAGAAGGATGATACATAAAAGAAGATAGGAAGGATGATAGAAGGATGACAGATAGAAGGATGAACATAGAAGGATGAAATAAAGAAGGATGATAAAATAGAAGGATGACAGATAGAAGGATGATATATGAATGAGATAGAAGATGATGATACATAGAAGCATGACAGAAGAATGAAGATGATAGATAGAAGATAGAAGGATGATACATAAAGGAAGAAAAAAGAATTTGGAAAAAAAAAGGATGATAATAGAAGGAAAAATATAAGGATGACAGATAGAAGGATGATAATAGAAGGATGACAGATAGAAGGATGATAAAAAGAAAAAGGATGAAATAGAAAAGAAAAAAAAAGATAGAAGAGAAGAAAGAAAAAT